CAACATTGAAACAGATCAGCAGCAACATGAAACAGATCAGCAGCAACATGATATGGTTTTTCACAGTGATTATTCTAGTTAGAGATGCATAGGAGGACTTTAACAAGAATTTAGAAAGATTAACACTTAAAAACAATTATTTGTTTGCTCAAAATTATAGTAAAGGTGTGTCTCAGTCTAACTTTTGTTTAATAAATACACTTTGACAATCAAATCAGCTGTATTTCAAAAGCTGATTCGCAGAAGCGGGCACGCGCAGAGGGACAAGTCGCTGTGCATTACTTTGAAATTTAACAAGATAACCACCTAAAAACATTTGTTTGTTTGCTCAACATTATAGTAAAGATGTGTGTCAGTCTAACTTTTGTTTAATAAATGCACTTGCTCCAAGTAGTAGGCAGAACAAAGGTGGCAGGGTATGGCAAGCCGATTGTGTCATTAATAGCCACTTTTACCTATTACATGATGCAATGGCATGCCATACAACTCGACAGCCATCTAGCCGCTGAAAATGGTAGTGTTTAATATTTTCAGTCAGAATGAATGAAAATGGTCATATCTCAGCCAAAAATTGTTTTATAAATATGGGGGAAATAAAATCCATAAATACGTTGTTTTGGCTTATAAGTCGCAGGACATGTAAATTATTAGGGACTCACGATATTGGATTTTTGGCCGATATTTTAAAACTTATTTGGCTGATACCGATATTTTATATCCTTTCCTTTGTCAGAACATAGCCCTCTTATTTAGGCTTATTTGTTACAAAAATTGTGCAACAGCTGTAAGAGCTGGTGACATATATTCAGTAACAACCATATGATATGCATAGCACTTTAACTTATATTAAATGAAAAGTGTTAAATGTAATTTATTCGTCACCTGCGATGCTGTCTCACTTGTGGAGGCTTGTTCCAGGTTCCTATAGTTGCAGTGTGGGATCCTCTGCACTCTTGTGCATGAAGGACAGCCTTTTTAAGTTCAAAGTTTTTGTCTATCCATTGTGCCGCAAGACATCCAGATGTCTGTGGTAAAACTCACCCAACAAGTCGTGTTATCGGTTATTAGCTTCTCACTGACGTCAGAAATGACGGCTTGTAACTCTGATAAGGCTACGTCGGAAAAATATCTCCGACTGGGGACGATGTAGCAGGCTCAACGTAGTCCATAAATCTTCGGAATCTGACATACTCACCAACGAAAAATAAAACTTCCACATTGCTGACATTTTGAATGTCCCTCTCCGCCGTAAGATCGGGTAGGCACATGTGACGTCATCACGTTGTGCTGCTGCTGCAGGAAAAAACAGCGCCTTTTGTATCGGCGAGTTATTTTAATGGAATGTCCGATATTGAACTTTAACGTTAATATCGACTGATGCCATACCATATTATCGTGCATCCCTATAAATTATGCAAAAAAAGAAAAGAAAAAGTGACATAGGTGAAAAATACGGTAGTTTTAGTGGATGATCATCCACTGATTATGTTAATTAGACTCCATCCACAGGTTCATAACATGTTTTGCTAACGCCACAGAAAATGTTTTTGCCTTCCCCTTTCATGGTGGATGATAGTGGTGTAAACTTGGTATACAGGTGCATCTAAAAAAATTAAAATATCATGGAAATGTTCAATTTTTCAGTCATTTCAGAAAGTCCAACTCATATTCATCACATTCAGAGTGAAATATTTCAAGCCTTTATTTCTTGTAATTTTGATGATTATGCTTTACATATAATGAAAACCCAAAACTCAGCATCTCAGAAAATTAGAATCAGCCAGCTGTTGGTACCTTTGTCAGTGTGGGCAGGAGCCGAGTCCTGCTGGAAAATGAAACCAGCATCTCCATGAAGCTCGTCAGCAGAAAGAAGCATGAAGTCTCTAAAATGTCCTGCTGTGTGGCCTGTGGACTTCAGAAATCCCAGTGGACCAGAACCAGCAGAGGACATGAACCGAAACAATCGGTGACTGTGGAAACTTCACTCTGGACTTCAACAACGTGGATTCTGGACCTCTCCTCTTCCTCCAGACTCTGAGACCTTGATTCATAAATGACATGAAAATTTACTTGAACCTGAAAAGAGGACGTTGGACCACTGAGAGACAGTCCAGTTCTTTGTCTCCTCAGCAGGTAAGACACTTCTGATGTTTCTCTGGTTCAGGAGTGGCTGGACTGGAGGAATGAGACATTTGTAGCTCATGTCCAGGATTCATCAGTTCGTAGTTATGTGCATGAGTTTCCAATAGGGAACTTTATCAAAATTTTCTAGTTTTTTGAGGCAATTTTGTTTTTTCATTATTTGTAAGACAATCATTAAAATTACAAGAAATAAAGGCTTGAAATATTTCACTCTGTAATGAATATGTAATATTTGAGTTTCACTTTCTGAAATTGACAAAAAAAGATTGAACTTTTTCCTCAGTATTTTAATTTTTTGGGATGTACCTGTATTGCAACATAATTGTAACGATTACATAAAATATGTAAACAATGACAAAATAAAGCTCATGCATATTTTGTGTCCCCCAGCATGAGAATTATAAAAAATAAAATACTATGTATATCTTTAAAACGTAATTAATGCTTTTACTGAATCATATGTATTCACCTTTTAGTAAAAATAAACCAGAGGTGAGTGTTGGCTATTTCCAGAGCTCCAAAGTCAGCTTTTCTTTTTAAATACAAGATTAAAATTATGTCTGTGACCAGCTCCCCATACTAATTTCATCTTGTTCCCATTCTTGTGTCCCTCAGCACTGGTGAAAGGTGCAGGTCGCTCTGCACAGTTCCACCAGCTGCAGCTGTACAGACACGAGATGCAGCATTTTGTCAAAGTCATTCAAGGTTACATTGCCAACCAGATCCTCCAAGTGTCCTGGACGGAGTTCACAGCTAAGCTGGCCACTGCTAATGACCTGGACGCTATTCACCGCACACACGCTGACTACCTCAACAGAGCCATCTTCAGGTGAGAACTGGAACTGCAACTGGGAACATTTACAATTACAGCTGTATTAACTGCAAAACACGTGCAATAAGAAAAGGTCTCTGATGTGAGATTTGTTTTCACAACATCAAGAGATGGTAGTTTGTAGTTAGGAATATTTTTATACCGTATTAACAAAAGTTATTGTGTGGTGATTCAAATTCTATTCAAATAAAATACTTATCTGCCAAATTAAATACTTCTGCACAAATCACTCTTTCTTTTTATGTTAAAGTGGTTTAAATCATCCAGTTTTACAGATGTGGACCTAAAATTTGATTAATCAGTCACTGAAACTCACTACAACACATAATATAAGGACTAGTTAGAGCGTAAGATCTTTGCGTAAAACTTTAGCATTAACCTTTGGAGTCAACACTGTTGGTCTGTTAGTTTCTGACAACTTAATTTAAATCTGTCCAGTGGTTCATGAAACATTTAACTAATTATTAGATGTACATCTACAACTGATTAACTTTTAAAGTCATTCTAAACCAAAATTCATTCAACTTTTATTTATACAGGTTAGTCCCATGGCTGCCAAAGCTAAGTGACATTAGCACACACTAAAATGGAAAATACCTCAAATAAAATACCTCAACCAGTTTTACATATATTAATGTAAAATTTGATGTGGTTGTTGCTGAGAATCACTCTTTGTGCAACATTTTCCATGGGTCTGAGCAATTTTGATTTTCTTCATGATTTAACACCAACTATTAACATCTTCATCATTTATCAACTTAAGATTTTAGTTCAAAATTCTGACAGAGAGGTGGTGGGCAATAAGATTCCTTTAAAGAATATGACATCATAAACACACTGAAAAAAACAAAATCCAGCACTTTTGTTTTTGCTCCCATTTTTCATGAGCTCAACTCAAAGATCTAAGACTGTTTCTATCTACACAATAGACCTTTTTCTCTAAATATTGTTCACAAATTTGTGTAAATCTGTTAGTGAGCACTTCTCCTTGGCAGAGATAATCCATCCACCTCACAGATTTGGCAGATCAAGATGCTCATTAGACAGCATGATTATTGCACAGGTGTGCTTTAGGCTGACCACAATAAAAGGCCACTCTAAAATGTGCAGTTTTATCACAGCACAATGCCCCAGATGTTGCAAGTTTGAAGGGAGCGGGCATGGCAAATGGGAGCGAAATCAATTGTTGTATTTTTGTTCAGTGTAGTTTCCAGTTTTGATTCATTTTTTTGTCCATGCACCAAAACTACAAACATTTAATCCAAAACACAGTTTGCACCAAATACAAAAATGGCAATTTTTAGTTTAATACGTTAAACGTTAGTGATGACTGCTAAAATCTTTGAACCATCCTAATTTTTTAAAATCTTACACGATGAATGTGTTCTTTATTGATCTAACAAGTTAAAGCCATTTTGTTTCCATATCAGCATATTAAATATTTTCTTACTCTTCATAACACTCATTCAAATTCCAGAGGGATGTGAGCCGAACTCATTAACCATATGAATGATTTAATCTCATGATGAATTAATCAGGAGAGGTTGTTCGCATCATACATTACAATGTCAGTCTCAAAAGTCATGGAAGAGGTTCCTTTGATTTTGCTTGAAGATTAACCTCTTCCCCATTCTTCCCCCCCCCCCCAGAGGTCTGCTTACAGACAAAGCAGCTCCGGTTATGAACATCATCCACAGCATCTTCAGCCTGATTCTCAAATTTCGGGCCCAGCTGATCGCACAGCCTTGGGACAAGCAGCAGGGGGAGGCAGTGCACCCCAGCTTCATTGCCATGCAGCAATCGTACAACACCTTCAAGTATTACTCTCACTTCCTTTTTAAAGGTAAGACACTCACTCATAGAACAATTTAAGAAATTCTATTTCAGAGTTGTAACTCTGACCTCTTCCTTTTCAACTCAACTGTTTGACAATGATTCAGTTTTAGATAGTTTTGACTCTTTTAAAGCTGAGCAGAGTGGAAGTATCCGACTGACATTCAGTTCGTGAGTAAACCACCTACACAGTACAGGTGCTGGTCATAAAATTAGAACATCGTGAAAAAGTTGATTTATTTCAGTAATTCCATTCAAAAAGTGAAACTTGTATATTATATTCATTCATCACACACAGACTGATATATGTCAAATGTTTATTTCTTTTAATGTTGATGATTATAACTGTCAACTAATGAAAACCCCAAATTCCTTATCACAGAAAATTAGAATATTGTGAAAAGGTTCAATATTGAAGACACCTGGTGCCACACTCTAATCAGCTGATTAACTCAAAACACCTGCAAAGGCCTTTAAATGGTCTCTCAGTCTAGTTCTGTAGCTACACAATCATGGAGAAGACTGCTGGCTTGACAGTTGTCCAAAAGACGACCACTGACATGTTGCACATGGAGGGCAAGACACAAAAGGTCCAAGCTTGTGTCCAAGCACATTAATAGAGAGGCGAAGGGAAGGAAACGATGTGGTAGAAAAAAGTGTGCAATCAATAGGGATAACTGCACCCTGGAGAGGATTGTGAAACAAAACCCATTCCTAACCTCCAACATTTGTTCAGTCAGGTCATCTGGACAGTTTCTTATTTTTTTTTTGTTTTGTACTGAAACGTTTCGCCTTCGATCTGGAAGGCTTCATCAGTCAAGGAAACACACAACAAAACTGACTCCAAAGTGGAACAAACCAGTTCTGCTTGTGATAAGCTGGTCTCTTTGGTACGCCCTCTCCTCCATTGCCGGCCCTCTTCCTTGCTGACAGTCATGTCAAACTGGTTTAAAACAACAAATCAAATCAGTCAAGGACTGAAAATGTTGGATTGTATACCTGGATTATTAAACATGGACTTTTGTTGCCATTCCTAACCTGTTTAAATAAGGGTTGAATAAAAAAAAAAAAATCCAAAATGTAGGGGAGATTCACAAAGAGTGGACTGCAGCTGGAGTCAGTGCTTCAAGAACCACGACACACAGACGTATGCAAGAAATGGGTGTCAGCTGTCGCATTCCTTGTGTCAAGCCACTCTTGAACAAGAGACAGAGTCAGAATTGTCTCGCCTGGGCTAAAGACAAACAGGACTGGACTGCTGCTGAGTGGTCCAAAGTTATGTTCTCTGATGAAAGTACGTTTTGCATTTCCTTTGGAAATCAAGTTCCCAGAGTTTGGAGGAAGAGATGAGAGGCACAGAATCCATGTTGCTTGAGGTCCAGTGTCAAGTTTCCACAGTCCGTGAAGGTTTGGGGTGCCATGTCATCTACTGGTGTTGGTCCACTGTGTTTTCTGAGTTCCAAGGTCAACACAGCATCTACCAGGAAGTTTTAGAGACTTCATGCTTCCTGCTGCTGACCAACTTTATGGAGATGCAGATTTCATTTTCCAACAGGACTTGGCACCTGCACACAGTGCCAAAGCTACCAGTACCTGGTTTAAGGACCATGGTATCCCTGTTCTTAATTAGCCAGCAAACTCACCTGACCTTAACTCCATAGAAAATCTATTGAGTGTTGTGAAGAGGAAGATGTGATACACCAGACCCAACAATTCAGAAGAGCTGAAGGTCACTATCAGATCAACCTGGACTCATAACACCTGAGCAGAGACACAGACTGATAGACTCCATTCCACTCCGCATGCTGCAGTAATCCAGTCAAAAGGAGCCCCAACTAAGTATTGAGTGATGTACATGCGCAACATACTCATACTTTTCATGTTTATACTTTTCAGTTGGCCAACATTTCTAAAAATCGTTTTTTTACTGGTCTTAAGTAATATTCTAATTTTCTGAGATACTGAATTTGGGGTTTTCATTAGTTGTCACTTATAATCATCAACATTAAAAGAAAAAAACATTTGAAATATATCTGTCTGTGTGTAATGAATGAATGTAATATACAAGTTTCACTTTTTGAATGGAATTACTGAAATAAATCAACTTTTTCACGAAATTCTAATTTGATGACCAGCACCTGTATAAGAGAGTGGATGTTGGATACCGACCACATTATTACTTGTTTATTGGGATGAGGAAAAAAGGAAAGATGATATCAATATTTAAAAAAGGAAATGTAATGAGGCTTGAATTTTAGAGCACAAGGAAGTGACATAATTCTGTCCAAGGACTTTCACAGGAACAAAAAAAAATCTCAAGACATTATTGTCCAAATAGATTGATGTCTGAGCCATTGTCATTAAAATAATGTACTGAAAAATATTTCTTCTAAATTGTGACATGTATAATAGTCGATAAAAGGAGCAAGGTCCGAAGCATCAGTTTGGGCTGAATTGTTTAGAAGTGAGGCTGAAGGAATAACCTGCGTCTCCGTTCTTTGACAGTGGTGACCAAGCTGGTGAACAGAGGCTACCAGCCTCACTTAGAGGACTTTCTGCTCCGCATCAACTTCAACAACTACTACAAGGACTCCTAACGAGCATGTCTGTGAGCAAAATGTCCACGATTTCATTTCTTAAGGCTTTTTATGGGGAGTGGTGGCGTAGAGGTTAGAGAAGGCGAGCCTGTGATGGGAAGGTCACCGGTTCAACTCCCCGGACTGACATCAAAATGTGGGTGTGAAAGGTCAAGCGCCTCCACCCTTATTTGCACCACTCTGTGCCCTTGAGCAAGGTCCTTAACCCCCACCACCTGCTCCCCCAGGCACCCTAGATAGCAGCTCTGCTCCACACAGAGGGCTGTGGTAGCTCGGTGTTTTTTTGGACAGGAAGGACATCTGGTGTAAACTTATGTGCCAAGTCTTCGTCGAGTTAGTTCGCAGTGGCGACCTCTGAAGAAGGGAGCAGCCGAAAAAAGAAAGATATTAAGGCTTTTTATAACCATAGTGCTCCACATCTGATGAGCGCACACTGCTGTTTTAGGACTTAAGTGACTTTACAAACTGTTCAGGGTCATGGATGACAGCAAACATGGTGACTTGGTTATGGATGCTGCTGGTGTGTGTGTGTGTGAGACAAAGTCATTGAAATCCATTTCAAACCTGGGTGTGCTTACAGTTATGTACATTTAATATGAATTAGATTTAATGTAAATAAAAAGCAAATGTTTTATAAAAGCCATGTTGTCAATGGTGATGTTTTCAGTGTTCTTAATCAAAGCTCTGAAATAAGAAAGCACATTTACTGCAGTAAGAAATGATTTATTGATTTAGGATTAAAACATTAGTGGTTTTATAAAACCAGGACAAATGAAGTGCAAAGCCTTTAAATTCTGACATTTATAAAAAGAGAAAATACAATCCTTGGTGAGTTGTGGAAATATTTTCTGCACAAGATTTTTTTCTTGATGGTAAATATACAAAGCAAAATATATAAAGACTGTAGCACAATAAATGTGAATGAGTTGCAGTGGGTCACCTGCAGCTGGAGGATTTATTGAGATTAAAAAAAAAAAATCACCAATTCAGCTATCAGACAAAACACAGGCAGCAGTTTGATTCTAGACTGGAACAGCTCCACCATCAGTGGGACAGTAGAGGAGCAAAACTACAGCATCGAACAAGGTGGAGTCAGGTCCTCTGGATGGATTCTTTGTTGAAGCCTTTTGTTTGCACTGCAGCCTACCAATCTGCCTGGATTATTGAGCATGCATCAGGACTCCACAGCATCAGACAACTCAGTCAGAAATATCCCCCTCGCTTGTTGATTAGTTGTTTTAACCTTCCTGCTCCTCTCGAGTTAAAATGACCCACAGGCAACAAACCGAAGGGCAGCAGATTCATTTAAAAGTATTTGCTGCTATAATAAACCAAATATAAGAATTTCGTAATAATCTTCATGTTGACTTATTTGTGTTACTTTCCACACTACTCGGATCATCATGAGTTCGTACCAAGCGCAACATTATTTTTTGAAAAGGTCCCTGAAGTGAAGTTTGAGCTCGTGTCATTTTTCCAGCACCTAAAACTCCTCGAGGCAGCTTCTCTAATAATAATCAGTTTCTAGCTTGTAATGTTCACTAGTGATCTCTGAATTTGTAGCCTAAAATGATCCAATCTCCACAGCGCTGCTTTTCTGCTCGCCACCTGATAAACAGGGTGGATTTTAGAGTTTACTTTTTATCCACAAAATAGCTCAATTTCATTTGAGATTACTTCAGGCAGGTAAAAACCTAAGCATCTGAGATTATATAAAAAAAATTTTTTTTTAAATCTTAGTTTAGTAATTTGAAAAAGAACATGTCCCTAAACTAACTCTTCCTTCAGACAGTACAGCAGTATACAGTGCAGTCCTAAATGAATTGGAAAACAGATGGTAATCTATCCCCCCTTTACATCAACGGCGAGTGCGTGGAGAGGGTTCACACTTTCAGATTTCTTGGTGTCCATATCTCTGCTGACCTAAACTGGAAAGAGAACACCACAGCGGTCATCAAGAAGGCTCAGCAGAGACTACACTTCTTAAGAGTCCTTAAGAAGTACAACTTGAACACAAAACTGCTGCTGACCTTCTACCGCTCGTCCATCGAGAGCCTGCTGACATACTGTATCTCAGTATGGTACGCCAGCTGCACCCTGGCTGACAGGGAGAGGCTTCAGATAGTCAAGACAGCACAAAAGATCATTGGCTGCCCTCTCCCCTCCCTGATGGACATTTACACATCACGCTGCCTCAACAGAGCAGAAAGCATAATCAAGGACTGTTCACACCCGGGTTTTGAACTGTTTGACTTGTTACCTTCAGGGAAACGCTACAGGTGCATCAGAACAAGAACAAACAGGTTCAAGAACAGTTTTTTTCCCGAAAGCCATCACCACACTGAACTCACACATGCACTGATTTAATCATCTAACCTCCCAAACACCTGGACTTCTACTGTGCAATACTACTGACATTTCATACTCTCAATCACCTTAACTACCTCACTAATATCCATAATGTGCAATACAATTGTGTAATACTTGTATTTTTTTTTTACTTTCATTATTATATCTATATTGCGTTAAATTTTTTATATTTTTAGTGTGTGTTTAATGTGTGTTTTCTTAAGGCGTGTTTTTGCACTGGAAAAAGGAGTGGCTCTTAATTTCATTGTACTGCGTATAATGACAATAAAGGCATTCTGATTCTGATTCTCTGATTCTGTAAGGGTTTACCTGCCTGAAGTGTGCAGCGTTCAGTCAGTTTTTCTCATGTGAGCAGTGTCGGTCACATTCACTGCATGTTGTAAGGTTTAGCTGGCCCTTAAAACTAGTGTAGCAGCTGAAATGGAACAAACCTGAACTGCTTTAAGAGAAGAATTTCACAGTCGACTCTTCTTCCAGCTCAGCTGCTGCTTCAGTCATCATTCATAAGTTAAGTATGTGAAACATGCTTTTCCAAAAGTGTAATGCCTGACTGGTCTTGCTTCATGCTTTTCTGACATTTTGGTTGATTTTATTCTAATATTGCGTCTCTGAGCTCAAAATAGAGGCTTTGATCCTCTGCAAATGGAATGAGAGAGAATAGTGTCATTTAAGCATCATTCACTGCAAGAGTCCTGGTACAGTTTAAACATGGAGACACTTGGACTGATCATATTTACAGAGGCTTGTGTGGAATTAGAAGTGACAATTCAATGTAATGGCATTGCTTAAGACAAGAGTTTGTTTGTAACCTCATTAAACAAATAAAAGTAAAAAGTGCAAAGAGCAAAACTGCGTAGCTTCATGCTGCTTTAAGACCATACAGGGTGACCTAAAGAAATGGTCACTGCCCTGTAGACCAAAGAGTCTTACATTGTCCCAACTTCTGTTCTCTTTACCGTTTTTAAGTTTTAGCTTCTTAATTAGTGCATTTTGTACCCAAAACAGCTGCTTTTTTTAACATTAGTAATCATGAAAAAAAAAGTCAAGAGTAAACTTAAAAGTCTTACATGTAAAACAGATTATGTTCTTCAAAAACAAACACTTCAAACAACGAGAACCTACAACAAATGTAAACCTAATCTGAATCACCGTTCCACCACCACCTCTTTGATGTTTGAGGATAGATCAACCAGTACCTATAGCATTCCTTCAGAGGAGCGGACCACCTAAAGCAGCACACAAGGAAAGAATTAAAAAAATAACTGGATCTTCGGAGATCAACTGTGGAATGAACGACGTAACACCAGTGAGATGGGGTTGTCGTCTTCGTGGTCAAGCTCTTCGCTGTTAACGTCCTTGCTTCAAGCGCAGCAAACGGTAGAGATCTGGTCCGTTACTGGAAGGGCACTCTTGTAATGGTGTAACAGTAATAAAAGTTAGAGTGAGGAATCATGATGGGACCTTTATCCAGGACAAGTCCTGCCTTATGGGCAAAGGTCAGACTGGCTCTGCTCTTTGCTTTTGGGAGTTCCTAATAAAAACTAAGCTTCAGACTCAAGGTCCTCCTGACTCTCTCTGGGGTTCGAGTTGTCCGTCTCCGGCTCCAGCAGCAGGAATTTGCCAGCATTAGTCAGAGGCATGTTCTTCATCAGCTTGGCCAATGCATCTGGATCCTTAAAGAAACAAAACAGACGTCTCCAGCTGAGTAAAAACTGCTTGTTTACTTTGTATTGACTTGTGACAACTCATTAAAATGCACCTGTTTTGTCTTTGTAATGTGCATTAACATAATTCAATTCAATTCAAAAATATTTATTAATCCCAAAGGGAAATTAAATGTGGCTCATCATCCTGGTTTCATTAAAGAGTTGTTATAGATGCTGTGGGCAGGAAGGATCTCTTGTAGCAGTCTGTCTTAGAGCAGATCTGAAGAAACTGTTTGCAGATGTTGATCTGTGTACTTAGACTTGTTGGGTTTCTCTGTCTTCTTGGGCAGCAGGACCACCTCCTTCCTGAGCGATGGTCACTCCTCCCAGCAACTTGTTGAGCTTCTAGTAATTGCGGACAGACAGCAGGTGTCAGGGGATGATCTTGGTGGTCTTGTAGTCACAACTTGCGTTTCCCACCAGCTCCAGGACCTCAGCAGTCAGGTACTCGAGCACCTCCGCCAAGTAGACGGGGATGCATCCACGGCACTTCCTTTTTAACTCATTTGGGATTTTGGGCTGTAGCTGAGACATTATTTGAGCTTTTTTTTGTTGATTTTTTTTTATGTTATCATATATATATACATATATATATATACATATATATATATACATACACATGGATGGATGGATGGATGGATGGATGGATGGATGGATAGATGGATAGATGGATAGATGGATAGATGGATAGATGGATAGATGGATAGATAGATAGATGGATAGATGGATAGATGGATAGATAGATATTTATTGTTCTAGAATTGTGCCGCTCAAGGTGGCTGCATGTTGGAGCAGCTCTGTTACTTTCATTCTGAGATTTATTTATTTAGGTTTCTACAACCAACAGCAGCTGATTAACATCTCAAAAGCTCAAATAATATCTCAACTACAGCCCCAAATCTCAAATGAGTCGAAAAGGATGTTCTGTGGATGCATGCTCATCTACCTGCCAGCTGTGCTTGAGTGCCTGACCACTGAGATCCTGGAACTAGCAGGAAACACGGCTCGAGACAGCGGAAGGACAGAATCGTCCCTTTACACCTACAGTTGGCTGTCCGCAGTGACGAGGAGCTTGACAGACTGCTGGGAGGAGTAGCCATCGCTCTGGGAGGAGTTCTGCCCAGCATTCAGGCAGTCCTACAGCCCGGGGGAACCGAGAGGCCAGCCGAGTCTGGGTGGACAGATCAAACGGCATCTGCAGCCAGTTTCTTAAGATCCACTGTGGGATGGACCTTTACAAGAGATCCTTCCTGCCTTCAGCCATCAGTATCTATAACATCTCTTAATGAAATTAGGGTAACAAGTTACAACAACAATTAATTTCCCTTTGGGATTAATAAAGTATTTTTGAATTTGAAATGGACATTTATACGATTTAACCTTTAGAGAAATTGCATTTCCTGTGAAAATGCAGGGTGAATGCTTATTGCTGAAGAACAACTGAAATTAGCTAAAACATGCTGAAATGTAGCTGAAATGGAAGAACAAGCCTAAATTAGCAGAAGCAGAAAGAACACATATGATGAATTTGTTTTAAATAAGCAGAAATGAGCCTAAAATTAGTAAATTAGCTAAAGAAAAGCTAAAATTAGCAAGAAATAGCTGAAAAAGTAGCTAAACGGCAGAAAGAAGCTTAAACTACCAGAAGAAAGTAGAGAGAACACAGTTGTGCCCAGTTAAATCATAATCATAATCATCTAAATCATTTAAAATAATTCATTTTAAATAAACAACCCATGCCGCTCATGCGGCTCATCCATCAATCAGCCAATTGTGTGTCATGTCCAGTTTACTTTGAAAAACTGAAAGTCAAACCACAAAGTAGCGAGGGACTACTGTACATCTGCAAACAGTTCTGTCAATAATACTGCATCGATAAAGCTGCATATTCTTTGGACACAATGGAGCGTTCTTTCACAGGAAAAGCAGCAAATTTCCATTTCTTATTTATTTTAATTTATTAGGGGTAAATGTAAATAAATACAAGACTTTTATTTCAACTATTCGAGTGATGGCCATCTCTTGTTAATGCTTTAGAAATTATGCTAATGAGACATTTAGTACCTGTCTTTGGTTTTAAATGTACAAGAACAGGTTTTTGAAACAAATGTGTTACCTTCTTAGCTTCTGTAATCTCCTTTGCCAAGTTTATGGTGTAACATATCTGTGATTAAAGACAAAAAGGTGAATGTAAGAATGAGGCATCAATGTTTCCATTCTCAAAAATTAAAGTAAAAGTTAAAGCTGGCAAACCAACCTTTTCACCCTCCGTGTTGCTCTCGAAGACGAAGGCGCTGAATGAAGGCTCTCCCTCCTCATTTCCATCACTCCAGTCTCTCCCCTCAACAACAAATCCCATCAGCCTCCCGTTCTCCTGGTGAGCTGCAAACTGGCACACCTCTTCAAGCTGGAACTGAAAGAAAGATCCAGAAAACATTGACAAAGTGCAGATAATGGGTGAACTACCAAAAATACTGTGTCTACTTACACTGATCCTTGTTACTTGAGTCTGTGGGTCAATCAAACTAAAGAGAAACAGAAACCAAACAGTCTTTTACTTTGACATTAAAGTCTCGTGCCTCCTTTTACTTTCAATCTTTAAGATTTAACAGCATTGATGAGACATTGTAGCAACAATCGATCATAGAAGCAACAATATTTACAGCTCATACTGATATGAACAGGCTTCTAGCATTAAATATAGTAATACTGGAATTATTATTAAAAACTAGACAATCACACAGAAGATTCAATTAAGTAAATTCAAATTTTAAAGCTATAATTCAGATAATTGAAAAGGTCTGTGGAAAGGTCCATGGTCCATGTGTTGGAGTTGCGACCTGACTGAACATGATGAGACTGGGGGAGAAATCCAGCTCAGAGTTTGGCAGGAGGCTGGACTCACTCAGACCTGTAGAGCAGTGGTCCCCAACCTTTATAGCGCCACGGACCGGTTTAATGTCAGACTATATTTTCACGGAACCGGGGGGTGGGGTGGGGGTGTCTGAGGGTCTTACCTCAGAGAATTTGACCGCAAAGCCGCTGCAGCGCTTCAGGACAAATTGAGTTTGCTGATTTGTCAGTTGCTTAACTGCCAGTTATAAACATCAACATTAAAAGAAACAAACATTTGAAATATACCAGTATGTGTAACGAATGAATATACAAGTTTCACTCTTTGAATGGAATTACTGAAATAAATCTACTTTTTCACAATATTCTAATTTTATGACCAGCCCATGTATTTCAAATTTACTTTTAATCACTTTATGTGTGATTTATAAGTGTATTAAGTGCAGGATCATTTCTCATTTAATTAGTATATCCCACACCGGGGTCATCTGTGCCTCGTCATCCTCCTCCCTGCTCCGCAGTGATTCACACATCAGATTGTTCACAAAAGCACAGGAACTTATGCATAGTGCAAAACTTTAATTATATTTGTGTTTTTTAATAAAATTGCCCAAGACTTTGAACTTTTAGGGGCGGAGATTTTTTTTAAGAGCAGAAGCAGAAATGCTAAGGACCAGCTCTGATGTGAATTCAAATAAGTTCAAGACAAAACCAGCTCTGATGTGACATTAGGAAGCTTTGTTTAAAATTATAGTTTTATTTCATCCCTCCTGGCCGCCAGAGGGCAGTGCTGAAAGCAAATGGACTGTACTTATATAGCACCTTTCTATCTTATCGAGATACTCAAAGCGCTTTACACTAGAATCTGTGCCTCATTTACCCATTCATACAGCACTCTACTAAGATCTCTACAAAGCTAATTGAACAAATCATTCTAATGAGATTAATCAGAGCTTTATCACATTCATCCACTGATGGACACACATCAGAGGCTATGAGGGATTCAGTGTCTTGCCCAGGGACACTTCGACATGTGACTGCTGGTGGATTTGAACCCTCAACTCTTGCATTGGAGGACGACAAGCACTGAATGTTCCCTTCGAACATGCGCTGTTCGAGTAATAATACCAACGGAGTCACAGGTGTGACATGGATGACCAATCAGAGGCTATATAGCCCGACGTCATCCGCAGCTCTGCTCCTTTTATATTCTTGCGTGTGGTTCAATTCAGGGCTTCAGCCCTTTGGACCTTTTTTTGAACTTTTCACCGTCATTGGAAGCCCGACTGCGCGTTGGCGGGAGTAGCGTGTTCGCCCTCCTAGGGGCTGCGACGGTTTAACCCTGTTCAAAGGTATTTCTGCTGATTCGTTGGGTTCTACGGTTGTTTTCGCCCTGGGCAGCCCGCCACAGAAATAACCCTTTTGCACCAGCACTTTAGCTAGTATTTTTAGCTGATTTGAGGCTGATTCAGGAACTCTTTTCGTCCCTGCTTCTCTGGTGGGACCGAGCGAGCTCAGCTGATCTGAGTCCGGACCAAAACGTGAATGCAGGACTCTGTTTGGTCAGGGGGAGGAGTCACTGGTTCTCAGAAACTTTTCACCAATCCGCCATTTGCAATTTCTCTGGATGCGGAGCAGCGGCTGGATCTATTTTTAAGATTTTAAAAACAATAATGACAACACCGTGTTTTAATTCTGAAGTCCAGGCGTTTCTTGTGTTTGGCGACAGAGGACAAAATTTGAGCGAGCAGAGTCACTGCGGAGGATCATACGAGCTGCCGAGCCGTTGAAGCCCGCGAGGCCGAACCCCGAGCCCTGGCCTCGCCTGCTCACAAAGGCCGGATTCCAGCCTTGGCAGGCGGGAGGACCGGGATGGAGGGTGGAAACTTCTTTTTTTTTTACATTTTATGTATTAAAAAAATAAGTTTTTTTTTTTATCAGTGAAGATTAAAAATAAATAAACAGTGCCGGCTTTATCGTGAAATCCTGTTTTCCCTTTGACTTTATTAAATAATCTGTTAATTAAAGTTAATTCAACTGAAAAATCATAAAAAGACAATTATTGATTCTCTCATATTTCCCTCACACATGTTTAAAGAAGAGACGCAGCCTTTGGTTCAACATTATTCTAACCCACAGATGTACAAATCACAAAACAAGTACTAGACTTTAAATCAAAGCTTTATATCAAAGCTAAACTTTAATTAAAAGGTAAAAATAATCTGTATACAAGAAAAAATAATCTGCATACAAGAAACAAAACCACAATGAAGAAAAATATAGAATTTTAAATATAGATATCCTGATGTATGCTCAATAATCCAGGTAGAAAAATCTAAAAAAGTTAAGTCTGGTCCTCTGGACGTTCAAACAAACAAAAATGTAGAAACGTTTCATCTTTCGTCCGAAAGACTTCTTCAGTCTGAGGTGCTGTATTCAGCTCATTCTTATATAAATAGCTATGAGCTGAATACAGCACCTCAGAATGAAGAAGTCTTTCGGATGAAAGAAGAAACATTTCTACAGTTTTTTTGTTCGTTTCTTTCTTTGCTTTTTGAATGTCCAAAGGACCAGACTTAACTTTTTTAGATTTAAATATACAGGTCCTTCTAAAAAAATTAGCATATTGTGATAAAGGTCATTAATTTCCATAATGTAATGATAAAAATGAAACTTTCATATATTTCAGATT